ACCACTGATGAGAAACAGAGGAAGCTCTACATAAATGGAGAGATGTGCCATGTTCAGAGATCAGAAAACTCAATACTATTAAGACATCACCTCTCTCCAAGTTGATCTGTAGATGCAAATACCGAACAGAATTCTAGCAGACAAACTGACAAGTTGATTCAAGGAAAGGCAAGGAAAGGCAAAAGACCTACAACTTTCAAAATAATGAAGAAATACAAAGGTTAGAGGACCCACACCACCCGATTCCAAGACTTACAGATTTCAAGCTACAGAAATCAGAATTGTGTGCTACTGGCTTAAGAACACATACATGGACCAAAGGAACAGACTGGAATCCAGAAATAGATCTACACAGATAAGGTCAACTGATTTTCAACAAAGATGCTGAGGTAACTCAAAGAGAAAGCAGTCTTTTCAAAAACTTGTGCTGGAACACACAGCTATCCAAACACATCTTGATTCCTACCTTGCACCATACACGATGAAAAGTGAAAGTGTTAGTTGCTCAATAATGTCTGACTCTGCGACCCATGGACTGTAGCCTGCCAGGTTCATCTGTTCATGGAATTCTCCAGGCAAGAATGCTGTAGTGGGTAGCCATTCCCTTCTCCAGGGGACCCAGAGGATATTCCCAATGCAGGGAACAAACCCAGGTCTGCTACACTGCACAACAGTCAACTCAAAATGGATTACATAGAGTTAAATATGAAACTTAAAAGTAGAAAATTTCTAGAAGAGAATATATGATTAAATCTTTGTGACTCTGGGTTAGGTAAAGACTTCCTAGATAAAACACAAAAATACAACCCCAAAAAGAATGAAAAATGATAAATTAGATTTCACCAAAACAAAAACCTTCAAAAGATACTTATTATATTAAAGATGCAGTTACAAAGGTGAAAACTTGAGGAGACGGATGACCACAATAGTTGCACAGAAGTGTGAATGTACCTAGTGCCACTGAACTGTACAGTTAAATATGGTTAAAACAGTAGCTTTTATATTATGTGACTTTTACCACAATAAAAAATTTAAAAGGCACTGCATTAAAGGCACATACTGGCAGGAAATATCTGCAAAATATACATCTGATAAAGAATTTGTATCTAGAACATAAAGAGAACTCAGTAACAAGAAGAAAACCTAAAAAACAAAAAAAAAGCATAAAAGATTAGAATACCCACTTCACCAAAGAAGAGATCTGGTGATAACAAGCCTAAAAGGTTGAACACCATTTGTCACTAGGGAAATGCAAATTAAAACCACAATGGGATACCACTACACAACTATTCAAATGGCTACAACTACAGAACCATACAATAGAAAGTGCAAGCAAGGATACAGAACCACAACTCATTCATTGCCGGTGACTATGTCAAATGGTGCAGCCATTACAGAAAACAATTTGGCAGCTTCTTAAGAAGGTAAACATACATTTACCACACAATCCAGCAATTCTATTCCTAGGTATTTACTCAGATAATGTCCTACAAAGGTCTGTACAACAGGAATTTTATTTATAATACAAAAAAAATTGGAAACAATTTAAATGTCCACCAAGTTGTGAACAGATAAACTGTGGTTCATATATTGGAATACTACTTGGCAGTAAAAAGAAATGAACTAACTATTCATGTAACAATATGGATGAATGATGTTAAGCATTATGCTAGGCCAAAGAAACCATATCCAAAAGGCTACATATTATATAAATTCATTTAGATTTTGGAAAGGCAAACTCATAGGGATAGAAATTCGTTCAGTGGTCGTCAGAAGTTAGGCGAAAAACTGAACTACAGAGGGGTCTGAAGAAACTTTGGAGTGATCTGAAAAATGTTCTATATCACAACTGTGGTGGTGGTTACACAACTGTATAGATTTATCAAAACTCGAACTGCATATCTAGAACTGTATACCTGGGAAAGTTTCAGTGAGTAAATTATACTACAGTAAATCTGACTTAAAAAGTATACTTCAAATTAATGGCAACGGGAACACTAAAAGTTGCAATTTATGGAATGTGGCCAACCTGCACTAAGATGAAAAATAATAGCCTTAAGTGCTTCCATTATTAAACAGAAGAATAAAAATTAATGTACCAAACACCTGAAGCATAAGAAAGCCATGCTGCTGACAAGTTTAATAAAGAAAAGGGAAACATAAACACAATAGTAAGAATAAAATAAAGATAAAATTTTAAATACAGACATACTACAAATTATAAAGGTTCTCCTTAAGTTGATACTAATGAATCTGCAAAAAAAAAATTAAATGAAAAAAATTATCAAGATTGATTCAAGAAGAGCTAGAAAACTTCAACAGGGCCACAACCACGTAAGGAATAGGAAATATTCTCAAAATGCTATCCCTGGAAGAAGGCCCAGGTTCAGACTGATTTATGGCCCTTATAAAGCTATACCCTCAGAAGACAGAAAATTTTTGTGTCAAAGCTCTTAACCACTTCAGGGCGTGGAAAGGACAACTACTTACACTGCATTTAGATTTTATTTACAGAGTATTTACTTACAGAGCATTTACACTGCATTAGGCATTCTGAGTAATCTAGAGATTAGATTTATGGTATATAGGAGGATATACATAGGTATATGCAAAAACTGTTTCATTTTATACAAAGAATTTGAGCATCTGAGGAGTATGGTATCTAGTAGGGAGCACTAGACCCAATCCCCCAGTGACATCAAGGGACACCGGAATAGCAACAAAAGGAAAAAAAAAAATAGCAACATGCAGCCACGTGGATGAGTCTCATCAGTACCATGTTGAGCAAAAGCAGTAAACACAAAACTAAACAGTGTATTTTTAGGGAGGCATACAGTGTAAAACTATGAAGAGCAAAAAGTGACTATCACAAAAGTCAAGAGTGGCTTCCTTTGCGTGGTATTAAGGCTCTGATCAGGGAGAAGCATGTGAGAGCAGAAAGCAGGGTCCTGTGATTTCTAGTGTTGTATTTCTAGCTGATGGAGACTACATGGGCTCTGTATTACAATTATTATTTAAACTATTAAATATACATTGTACAAGTGTGTGTGTGCACGATTTATTCACAATAAGGAAAGAAATGAGATGGAATAATACAGTGCTTTCACTGGGTCTGGTTCCCTAAAGTGGCTGAGCACATCCTCTTCCTGTTTAGTAGGAAAAAAGCACCAGAGGACAGAGCTCTCTTAATTAAATTCCTAATTAAGCCCTCTTAAGAAGCTCTCTTAAGCATATTAAGTCTCTCTGAATCCTAATTTGCTCATCTATTAAGTGCAACTACTAATAACTGCCCTCATCTCTTGGGATATTTGCAACTATCAATCATATTCTACTAAAACATGTTTGGCTTAGATGCTCACTCGTGTCTGACTTCTTGCAGCCTCATGGACTGCAGCCTGCCAGGCTCTTCTGTCCGTGGGATTTTTCCGGCAAAAATACTGAAGTGGGTTGCCATTTCTTCCTTGGGAGGATCTTCCCAACCCAGGGATGGAGCCCAGGTCTCCCGCATTGCAGGCGGATTCTTTACCAGCTGAGCCACCAGGAAAGTCCGAGAACACTGAAGTGGGCAGCCATCCCTTCTCCAGGGGATCTTCCTGACCCAGGGACTGAACCATCGTCTCTTATGTCTCCTGCATTGGCAGGCAGATTCTGTACCACAAGTGCCACCTGGGAAGCCCACTGAGACATGTTTAGAAAATTGCAAAAAACAAACTAACAAAAAAAAGAGCAGTTGAGTTTTCATAATCTGAAATTCAGAGGTTTTTGCTACACTGTAGCTATGATGATACCAAGAAATAATAAAATCCATGAAAACAAAGATTGAATTTAACAATTTCCCATTTCACTTTAAGCAGCATTTTTTAAAAAGTGGTACGTTATCAGTAATGGGTAAAAAAATAGGGTTCTACTTTGAGAAAAATATTAAACATCAATGTAACCTAAGAAATGCTATAAATGCTATAAAAGATGTCACATTAAAAGTCTAAAGATTGAGATCTTCTCTTGCATTTACAAAAGAAAACTTAAGACTGTCTTATCCTCTGTGTGAAAAGGAGAAATAAGCTTTACCTCTTCTCTAATAAATCATAGTCAGCACCAAAACCATTCTCCCTAAATTGAGTAAAGGAGACAGGAATAAAATAAACAACTTAGCGGGGCTTCTCAATTAGCCACAGCGCTGCTATGGGACGATTAGAAAAGAAACTAAGAGAGAAGTCTAAGGAACCACAACAAATCGAAGCATTAAAGGATATGAGCTTTCCAGTCACTAGGCAACATCTTTGTATGGGGACATATCACAACTAGACTTCTCATGGTGATCATTCTGAGATGTATAGGAAAAAGTGACTGCATTGCTTAACAGGAACTAACAGTGTTATAGCTTAATTACACATCAAAAGCAAGAAAACAAAAAAATATACAAACTCACTCAGAAAAAGAGATGACATCTGTGGTTACCAGAGACAGACAGTAGTTGGATGAAGGCAGTCAAAAGGCACAATCTTTCATTTATAAGATAGATAAGTACTAGGGATGTGATGTACAACATGGTTAATATAATGAACACTGCTGTGTTCATTAATGTATTCATTAAGTTATATACGAAATTAGTTAAGAAAGCAAATCTAAAAAAATTTTCCTTTAATTTTGAGCCTATATGAGATAGACATAAATGGATGTTCACTAACCTTACTGAGATAATCACTTTATGATGTTCTAAGTTAAATCGTTATGCTGTATACCTTAAACAGTGCTGTGTATCAATTATATTTCAATAAAATTAGGAAAACAGTAAAGGGAAAATAATAAAGAATTTTTATATATTTACTTTGCCAGTTCTAACTTCTGCCATTAATATCAACAATACTCTTAGAAATTTTCCATATTCAAATACTTAAGATGACAAAAATAACATAAAAATGTAAATTGAAACACTTTGATCTATGACAACATCATATTATTTTTCTGTATAAAATAATGATGCTTGAAGTTCTACATACCTGAATGTTTTCTCTACTCCAAGTATGTGGTGTTTTATTGGCAAGTAATTTCAGATCTTGAATAGCAAGTCTCTTTACTGCTTTCCTAGGGTCATTCTTCAAATACTGCAATAAAAGCTGAATCTATAAAGGAAATAAGTCACTCCGTGAGTAACACCATCACTGAAATTATCATTAGGGATGCAGTGTAGTTTCGTAAACTTTCAGGTTTGAGACAGGGCTCATTTCAAATTACAGCCCTGTCATTTGTTCGCTATGTACCCATGTTTGGGCTTTTCTCCTCTTGTACAAAAATATACCTTCACTTAACTTGTAAGGTTCGAGCACAAGACCTGGCCTTAAACATATCAGCTCTTCTTTTTTCCGCCCACCAACTCCATGCTCCGTACTCTCACCTCCACCTCATTTAATTTTTATAAGACTCCCAAGAATCAGCACTGTGACTACAACTCAAATCTTCCTGCCCGCCGCACCAACTCCGTGCTCCGCTCTGCGCCCTCACCTCCACCTCTTTCTTCACAAGACTCCCAAGAATCAACATGGTGAATACAAAGAGGGAAAAGAGCAAGCAAAAGGAAATTAAACTTTCTGTGACCTTTATCAGAGAAAGGGATCTCAATGCTATCAAAACTTACACGCTACTTATTTTTTAGTATATAACATTTAACAGGCAAGTTTACTGAAGAAAAAGGAAGTTTAAAGAAAACTGAAATTACCTGCTTAGGCGTATCAACCAAAGATGAAGCTGCAAGCAGAGTGAAAGTGTGCAAAGAGACAATCACCATCTTGGTGGAAGGATAGGCGGTGACCAGCTGCTGTAGGAGCTGACGCGCACTGGACGCCAAGATGGCATCATGGTGCATGTGCTGCAGGATGGGGATCAACTTCAGCTTCAAGTCTACCGGCGTGGCCAGACCTGGACACGGAAAGAATGCTTAAGAGGTTTCTGACTGTCATCCTGGATAATATCTCACATTCAAAAGGTCTGATTCCATTAGCAAAATGACTATTTAAAAGCAAATAGCACACTCAATCGTTAGTCGCTCAGTCATGTCTGATTCTTTGCGATCCCAAGGACTGTAGCCCACCAGACTCCTCTGTCTATAGGATTTCTCCTGGCAAGAATAATGGAGTGGGTTGCCATTCCCTTTTCCAGGGGATCCTCCTGACCCAGGGATGGAAACCACTGGAGTGGGCGCTCCAGTATTGCCATGCCCTCTGCCAGGGGATCGTCCCAACCTAGGGACTGAACCCAGGCCTCCTGCACTGCAGGCAGATTCTCTGCCACCTAAGCCACCAGGGAAGCCTGCCCCCATTCCTACCCTGCGCTTTTCTCTCTCTCTCTCTGTACCTCCTGAGAGTGAAAATGAAAGTAGCTCAGTGGTGTCCCAACTCTTTGCGACCCCATGGACTATACAGTCCATGGAATTCTCCAGGCCAGAATACTAGAGTGGGTAGCCCTTCCCTTCTCCAGGGGATCTTCCCAACCCAGAGATCGAACCCAGGTCTCCCACATTGCAGGCGGATTCTTTACCAGCTGAACTACAAGGGAAGCCCAAGAATCCTGGAGTCGGTAGCCTGTCCCTTCTCCAGCGGATCTTCCCAACCCAGGAATCGAACCTGGGTCTCTTGCATGGCAGGTGGATTACTTACCAACTAAGCTGTCAGGGAAGTCCTGTACCTCCTAATTCCTGTTTATATACTTTAATTTTGTATAGATAAAACCAAAGGAACACAAACACATTGCAGGTGAATTCTTTACCACCTGAGCCACCAGGAAGCCAAACAGTACACTGGTATTATGTTTAAATTCATATTATGCTTATATATGTTTATGTAATGTTATATTAGAGGTAATCAAGTTCAATAGTTTTTAAAGTATTTATCTTAATTTGGGGGTGATTATTCTGGCTGACTGGAGAAGGAAATGGCAACTCACTCCAGTGTTCTTGCCTGGAGAATCCCAGGGACGGCGGAGCCTGGTGGGCTGCCGTCTATGGGATCGCACAGAGTCGGACACGACTGAAGCGACTTAGCAGCAGCAGCAGCAGCAGCATACAGGCTCATAGTAGAAAATATCCTTAAACGGCTCAGTACAAAGCAGTCATATTTGCTGCCTCTTTCTTCCCATAGCATACCAAAACATATACATATCCATGAACATATATACACATGCATAATCACAAACTCAATGGCGATAACCTGTTATATTTACAATTTTAATGATTTCCTTCAACACTAAGTCAAGATCAGGATGTGAACACACTTATGTATGGAGCAGTTGCAAAGTTCTCTGAACTTTGTGTAGCACTGCCTTTCTTTACAGCATGCACAGCTGAAATCTCATTGAGGACTGATTCCAAAGCATCTTTCCTTGTCAACACTGGAGCTAAATAAACAGAAAGTCTTTGCTTCTACAGCATGGTTTAACAGTGATAGTAAACAAAAAACTGTCAATCATAATGTTCTACTTATATGCCAAAAGCTAATTTATCTCTGCTGCTGAGTGCTTTTTGCCACAGTGAGTAACAGTGTGAATATATGACGTCATTTCAACATCCAACAGTGGCTTACATCCACTGACGCCCTTACTGTTTGGCCTCTCTTCAAGTTTAGCCAAAGCAGAGCACCCCCAGGAGACGGGAGAGAGAAGACGAGGTCAGAGTACTCACTGCCTGGTCTTCTCTATGCAGGGTCAGATCAGGCCTGTGCCATGACTGTTCTGACCCTTAAGTCACTGAGCGCATTTGCAAGACCATTCTATCTTTGAACTCCTTCTCAATGGCTTTTGCTTTTTCACTCTTCCTGGTTTTTGTCCTTCCTCTGGCTGTCCTTTCTCAATCTCTTTGTATTCTCCTCTTTTACCCACACTTTAATTTCTGGTCTTCCTTGGGGTTGCTAATAAATTATCTTCTTATCCTATGTACTTTCCCTGAGTGAGCTGATATAATCCCATGGCTTCTGCAATCAGCTATTTGCTTTTAAAGACTGCCTCCCCGCCTCATTCCTACCCCCTGAATTTCAGATGCATATGTCCCGTTACCTTCTGGTCATCACCAATGGGATATCTTAGAAGTACTTTATGCTTAACAGGGCCCAAAGAGAACTTCTGATCTTTACTATGAAACTGCCCGTGCAAAACTTTCCCCATTTCAAGATATGACAGCTCCATCATCACAGTTCCTCAGACCATGGAGTCTTTCCTGATTCTCTTATTTCTCTCACATTCACATCCAAATTTATTAACAAATCTTGTTGGTTTCTATCTTCAAAATATAAACCAAATCTGACAGTCTTTCCACCTTCACTGCTGTACACTGGTTCATTTCTACCACTATCTCCTGATCAGATCATTGCTAAGTTTCCTAAGTACTGTCTCTACTTAAGAGCTTCCCCATGGCAGACTCCTGTCTTAAGCAAGACTCCTGTCTCTGCAAGCCTATTCTCAGTCCAGCAATCAGAGGATTCTTTGTGTTTATAGACACCTTTACTGGAGGTTTTGTTTAGTTGCTAAGTCATGTTTAGGGAGACTCAAAATTTTACTTTGCAGAAACACAAGCAGCTTAAAATGTAAGGATATTTATTCCTCAGACTCACCTGCCACTTCTGTGTGCTGGGCTCCAATCTTCCTCTACCTTGCCCCCATTTCTGGGCTGTGCTTAGCTGCTCAGTCGTGTCTAAATCTTTGCGACCCCGTGGACTTCAGCCCTCCAGGCTCCTCTGTCCAAGGAGATTCTCCAGGCAAGAATACTGGAGTGGCCCTCCAGTACTGCCAGGCCCTCCGCCAAGGGATCTTCCCAACTGAGGGACTGAGCCCAGGTCTCCCCCACTGCAGGCGGATTCTCTACCATCTGAGCCACCAGGGAAGCCCACTCCCATTCCTACCACCTTGCTTTTCTCCCTTTCTCTCTGCACCCAATTCCTGTTTATTTACTTTAATTCTGTATACATGAAACTAAAGGAACAAAAACGAATCTTAAATATGTACATTAATGGATTTCTACATACGACTGTGTCTATATTCATATATACACACCACTGAAGTTATACAAAATCCTCCAGCATCCTAGGAGGCTTACCTGTACAGCTTTCATCAACTCCCTTGCTATCTACCCTGTCTGTGTGGAGAGCCCCAGCAGAGGGGAAGTTCACGTCGGGTCAGCGTATTTATTCTTTGGCTCCTCTACGGGGTCACATCCAGTTGCATCACCCTGAAGGTCAGTACTGCAAAGCGGCCTTCTTGATGTGACTCCAGGCTCTGATAAGTACTCCCTCCCCCGCACCTCAGATGGTGCAGGACATCGAAACCCTCTAGCATACTCTGCCCACACCTTTGTAAACGGCTCCTTCATCAAACCCTACTTGAATTAACGCAGCTCAAGTGTGACATGTTTCCCGCTGAGATGCTGTCTCATACAGCAGGTGGTCAGCAAACCCTGCTCAATGAATGAGTGATGCTGCCTTCTAATGAAGCTTTCTGCAGGGCAGCCTTTCTCTGGGGTAGCGGGGAAAGACAGAGGGATAAAGGGAGACTGGACAAAGCTCAATCACTGTATCTTGGTCTTCAACTAAGTGATCTTATTATGGCTCCATTTCCTTTTCCATAAAAGAAGTAAGAGTATTACCCACCCAAGTCTGCCAAATTACACAATACAAAGACACTCCATTTAGAGAAATACAAAGCAAGTCGTGTTCTCTAGAGCTGCGCAATGCTGTAACCCCAGAGCTTTCTTTTACGACTATGATGAGGGCAAATGAGGTAATACATGGGAAGCACAGTATGGAAGATGAGATTAGAATAAGGCTTTGTAGGCTACAGTAACCAATTTGGATTTGGGTTTAGTTGCAATTGGAAGATACTGGAGGCATATTAGCAGAGGGAAGAGAGTCCCTGAGCTTTCCCCCAGGTCAGAATGTTTTCCCCCTAAAAACATGCATTTCTCACTCAAGTACCACTTGATCAGAAGTCTTCCTTGACCAGCAATATAAAACAGAAGCATCTCCCCTTCCATCCTGCCATCGACTCTAGGGACCATCCTTCTCACCTCCCCTTTTCCCACAGCGCCTGGTACGTCACAAATGTACTCATCTACTGCTACCAGCACTCCTCCCCTGCTCGAACGCAGGCTACGTGAGGGCAAGGGCTCTGTCTTGTGTAGTACTGCATCCTAAGCTCCTAGAATAGTTCTGGCATTCAGAAGACACTTAATAAACACTATCTGGATGAATAAATGAATGAATAGTGATTAGCACATAGTAAGTGAGTAATGAATGTTAGCAGCTATTATTAACATGAATACCATTAAGTTACTTCATAACACCAAATGAAGAATACATACCTTGAATCATTTCACTGATTTTGTTACAGATTCCTACAGCAAAATCCCTTTGGAAAGAGAAAACAGTGTAATCTTTAAAACCAAAAAAATTAAATTTGCTGCAGTTTTCTAAGGACTTACATAGAACACAATAAGCACAGGAGAAATGCAATATTCCAAATCATAACTAACATTCCTAAGGTCAAGTGCTGGGGATGGGGAAAGAAATGCAACCAAAACCAAAACCCCACAAAGCAAGTGGGCTTATGCCAACACTGTTCCCACATGATCTTCAAGGAAAGATGCTCTGATTTATGAGTACTGTTGCAGCTTCATTACTGAATGACACTGTCTGAAAAACTCAAGGTTACTATCTCAGTCTACAGTGTTTTAGGACACACTTTTAATTAAGAAAAGCTTTTAATACACAAGCTAATCATTTACATAAGCAATAAAATATACACCAAATATTCTGAATTTTGGAAAAACAGAGTAAGTATGAAGTAGTAGAAATGCAGTGGGAAATATGGATAGAGCCAAATTATTTAAAAGTGGCCATTTTTAGATTAAAGACCTAAATGTAAGACCAGATACCATAAAACCCTCTAGAGAAAAACAGGCAGAATGCTCTTTGACATAAATTGCAATAATATCTTTTTGGATCTGTCTGCCAGCAAGATGGGAGTAAAAACAAAAATAAACAATGAGACCTAATTAAACATAAAAGCTTCTGCACAGCAGAGGAGACCATAAGCAAAACAAAAAGACAACCTACAGAACGGGAGAAAATACACACAAACGATGCAACAGACGACAGATAAAACCTTCAAAATACACAAACAACTCATATAGCTCAATATCGAAAAACAAAAAACTCAGTCAAAAAAAATGGGCAGAACATCTAAATAGACATTTCTCCAAAGAAGAAAGAACAACTACAGATGGCCAAAAAGCACATGAAAAGATGCCCCTCATCACTAATTATTAGAAGTGCAAAGCAAAACTATAATACAATGAGGTATCACCCCACACCAGTCAGAACAGCCATTTATCAAAAAATCTACAAATAATAAATGCTGGAGAGGGTGTGGAGGAAAGGGAACCCACCTCTGTGGGTAGTGGGAAGGTAAATTGGTGCAGCTACTCTGGAAACCAGTATGGAGGTTCCCTAAAAAACTAAAACCAGAGCTACTATGTGATCCTGTAATCCCACCACTGGGCACACACTCAGAGAAAAACATAACTTGAATAGATACATGCACCTCACTGTTGACTGCAGCATTATTTATAATAGCCAAGACATGGAAGTAACCTAAATGTCCATCAACAGATGAATAGATGAAGAAGACGTGGTATATAAATACAATGGAACATAACTCAGCCACAAAAAGAAGAAATAATGCCATTTGCAGCAACATGGATGAACCCAGAGATTATCATACCCAATGAAATAAGCCAGATTAACACAAATACCTTATGATATCACTTATATGTGGAATAAAAAAAATGATAGAAATGAACTTATTTACAAAACAGAGATAGACCCACGGACAGAGAAAACAGGTTGGCAGTCACCAAGGGGAAGCGGGGAGGAGGAACAGATCAGAAGTTAGGGTTTAACATACATGCACCACTGAATACAAACTAGACAACCGACAGGACCGACTATACAGCGCAGGGGACTATGTTCAATATTTTATAATGACCTGTATGGGAAAAGAATATTAAAATATATATATATGTATAATTGAATACTCTGCTGTATACCTAAAAATAACATTGTTAATCAAGTATACTTCAATTAAATAAATAAATAATTTTAAAAGTAGCCATTTTCAAAATATTGTATATCTGAAAAGCATTTTCTAAGGTGTTGCTTTTGAGTCTGCTGCAACTGAAATAACACTGAATGTTGCAAAAGTTATCAGTAACATGAATGTTTGGGATAAAACATTATATAATATGTAAGAAAAGATGATACAGATAATATGATTAAACTTGGTTCTTTCAGTCATGATTCATGACACATAAGGCATGAAATACTTCTGCTCTGCAGTTCAATGGATGTCTATATAAAATATTTTCTGCCATTAAGATATTATTTTAACATTCTCTGACAAAATGAAAAGCACACGTAAAGTACACAGTGGCTGTCTGCAGGGTAACCACATGCAGTGCTTAGAGTTATGAGATGAACTAGCCATTTTTTCATGAAACTCCATAACTACTCAGAAATGGTTATTTGCAGGTATCTTCTGAAAAGATAAATAAAGTAAGCATGTAACTTTAAGAAAAATAACTGGGTAAACTTTTTGCCAATCCTAGTTTCTGAACAAAAACTAGCACTTCAGAAAACTATCTGTCACCATGAGCTTGACAGCTTAATATTTAAAGCCTTTACTGATGAGATCAGTGGAGATAACAACAAATATGATCCTTTGATATTTAACAATATGATCCTTTGATATTTTACAATGGAAACGGCCAACATTTGGTAGACCTGCATTAACAGAGTGAACCAATATTTCCCAAAAGACCAATGTCTAAGTTATAAAACCATACATAGGTAAGGGATGCCAATGGATTTCAATGTAATAGTACATGTTCACTGATACAGTTTTAGAGTTCACATTGCAACTAACTTTTATGAACCAAAAATTTTCTAGTTCTGTTAGAGATCAAGGAAAAGTATCCATACCTACCTATAAAACCTAAAAAATACTCCTCTCTTTTTCAACTATCTGTGTGAGGCTGGCATTTGTTCATATACTTTAACCAAAACAACACATTGCAAAAGAAATGGTGAACGCAGAACCAGCTGTGACAATCCAGCCCGACATTAGAGAGATATGTCAAAATGTAAAAAACAACATCCCTCTTCCCACAAAATTGATTTTTGTTTTGGAAAAATATTTTCATAAAGATATTTCTGTGTCAACACATTAGGACTTTGTTATCCTTTAAATGAATTAATAATATATTTTAAGTTTAGGCATTTTCATCTCTAATACAGCAAATATCAATCGATGTAATCTGTATAAACAAAAAAAGCTCTTTGAGGACTTCAATAATGCTGAAGAGTGTAAAGAGATTCTGATACCAAATAGTTTGAAAATTACTGCTCTGATATCAGCCTTATATTCAATAAGAAAAAGTAAGCTGTAAATGTCTTTTGGGTACAAGGAAAGAGGTATATTAGGTATCTATAGATGACCTGTTCACATTTCAGAGCGCTCTTATATTTGTTATTCCTTCTGCTTGGACTATCCTTCCTCCAGATGGCTGCCTCTTCTTCAGGATGGTTTCAGTTCAAATGCTACCTCTTCAGGGAGGCTATCTCCGATCACTCTACCCAAGGAACTTACTTAGGTCATCATCATAATGATAAAACGACTTTATTTTTCTGTAACATTAATGAGCAGCTGAAACTATTGTGGGTTTACATAGCAACAGAGCATTCATCTTTTCCACTCCTGTATTCCTGGTGCTTGGAATAGAGTCTGGACATGATGGATATTCACTAAGTATTTCTTAACTAACTATATAATAACTTTTTTTTAACAAATGCAAAGTTTAAAATCTGTTACAGGCCTCTAGGGTCAATAAACTGCAAGTTTGAAGCCTGTAGTTTCCTTTTTTTTTAGGTCTAATAATATTTTTAAAAACTCTTAATGTCAGCAGTAAAAATATGCTAAGAATATACAGTCTCATTCGCTGAGACTACAGAATAATCTGATTCTCCAGCTTTTTCCCACCCCAGATTCAGATCTGACAACACTGGTCATGTTCCTGTACCATCACGGCAGCTGGTACCCAGGAGCAGTCACCCTTGCAGACGGTGTGCACATTCCAGTCCACCAGTCACCACTAGAGGTCACCACTCTGCCTGACAATGCCTCCCAGGTTCCTGAAGTCGTTTGGGTTTGCAATTCCTCCTCTGGGACTAGCTCTTAACAATTAAAACTTTTTGGTGGCACAATGGTAAAGAATCCACCTGCCAATGCAGGAGATTCAAAAGAAACAGGTTCAATTCCTGGGTCAGGAAGATCCCCTGGAGAAGGAACTGGCAACCTGATAAAGTATTCTTGCCTGGAAAATTTCATGGACAGAGGAGCCTGGCGGGCTACAGTCCATGGGGTCACAAAGAGCTGGACACGACTGAGCACGCACACCCTCAGAACAAGTTACATGTGGTTACGGTAGCAGACAGGTAGAAATAGGATTAAGTCAGTTTTTAAAGCCCTTTTGTGGTCAACTACTCTAATTTGTTTAAGATCCAAAACTGATAAAGACACTAAGATAAAAATCCATCTGTATTGGTTGAGATACCTGATCTCAAACCAGGTCATCGTTTCTGAGGGAAGTGCATGCATGCGTGTGTGCGTGCATGCTGTTACTCAGTCGTGCCTGACTCTTTGTGACCCCACGGACTGCAGCCCACCAGGCTCCTCTGTCCATGGGACTTCCCATGGTAAATGCTAATCTGGAAACAGCGTATTTTCTTAATTTTCATATTCTAATACATTCCAATAAGTACTTCAGACTTAACTATTGCACTAATTTGGTATGTTTAAACATCACAAATCCCAAGTATACCATATTGAAGCCTGGTATGTTAAAAACTGCTTCTACATAAACTGTTAAATGTTTACTGGTCATCAATTCTATAAATGAAGAATCATGTTGTTCCTATGTTACTTAATCTTTTCCAAGATAGACCAGAAATTCCACAGCTGGTAAAATTAGCTTCTGATAATAACACATGAGAAAAACAGCCAAAAATGATTTCCATAAGCAAATTCTAATACCAAATCTCAAATTTATCATCTACATTTAGAAAACTCTTTTTAGAGCTACTCAAAGTACACACTTAATTGGATAGATTTAAAGTACTCACACCTTGACTGGTGATCAGAGGATAAATATTCACTAGATATAACTCTTAACCAATAAAAGTAATTTTTAAAAAGTTCTTGCAATACGCATGACTCTCAATAAGAAAAAAAATGCCAATTTTCAAAAGCACCAATAGGGATTGTCTTTACTTAGATATTTCTCTTCCTCAATTACTGTCACACCTACTACTTTCAATCAGTAAATAAAAGTCTACACAGTTTATGTTCTCTAATCTCCTTTTCCAATGAGTAATCCTGGAATTCTCAAGGTTTGAAAAGAGCAGCGGAAGAGATGAACAAGTATATAATTAAACTATAAAGAAAGATCATTGGTGATTAACTATTTCAAGTCTTATCCAAATTTAGAAGAAGCTCTTAATATAAATGCTATTTTTACTTTAAAAAATTCATTAGTCACCTGATTATAAAACCAAAACTTGCTCCTAGCAGGATATACAGAAATTTGTAAAAAAAGAAAATAAAAATAAGGTAATATCTTCACTCAGAGACAATATTTCGATACATATCCTAGTCTCTTTTCTATTCCATAAACACTTGCTTTTCAAATAAATCTGTAATATCACATAACCTATTATGTAACCTGTTTTCAAATATATTTCTAAAATACATTAGTTATAAAAGCTGATATAGTATTTCATTGTATGATCCTATTTATCTTATTGGCACACTGGTTGGAATTTGTTACTAATTTTTTTTGTTATTATAACCCTATAACTAGCATCCTTGCAAGTAAGTATCAGTACACACTGCTGACTCCTTAGGATAAATTCTTATAGGTGGATTTTCTAGGTCCAAGGGATGTACAAAATACATATTACAAAAATGCCCTCCAGAAAGCAGTGTTACTTTAACAACATCAGTCAGTAAAAGAAATAGTATTATTTTTTAGAGAGTATTATTTTTTAGAGAGGATAATCCAGTAAGTCAAACACATTAATAAAACTATGGTCAATATTCCATCAAAAAATAATACATATATGGAGACAGAAATACTATTTTATAAGATTATAGAGTATGATACCCCAAAGAAGTTAAAATTGGTTTCAATTCCAGTTATTATCTCTGTCAAACTGTCCAGACTTGAGAAGACAGTAAGAAAGGAATAATTTAGTATTAGGACAGTATAGGTTTGGGGAAGACACCTCAATGGACAAAGCTCCTGCTTCCCAATGAAGCCTTCCCCAACTATTCTAATCCCAGGCTGATCCTGTCCTCCTGGGACCTTTAATTTCATTTACAGTTAATGCCAACATCTGTACTTAACGTTTCTGTTTTATATATTTAAGTCTTGTTTTCCCAGCATGATAGAAACACCCTTGGAAAATACATCTTGCCGTTTACATTTTTCTATATCCCTTAGTGTTCACATATATAAATGAGCTATTCTTTCAAAACCTCTTCTTGGGGAGCCAAACTATAAAAGGCCGAGGCTTACTTCGACTGTGCAGAGAAGTTGGCAGCAGCAAAAACAGCAGCTTCAACTTCTACATTATCATGTGAATCCAGACTCTGACGAATACTGTGATGAGCATTCTTCCTCTCAGGAATTATTGATGCCAGGCTTCCCAACATCCTACACAAACAGAGAAACCCAAAAAGAATGGAAATACAGTAAGTTCAAGGTCAGAAAAGGAAGAAATAGGCAAAGCTTACCAAAACTAAAGTTTGTAGGTCAGTCCATAAATCTCAGGTTAATGAAGTATCAATTTTAGAAACCAGTGACTCAAATTTTGTAAACATTTTCCCATACTTCAACATGTAAGAAAAATTAACATGGTTAATTTAATACAAGCAAAAATTTTTTAACAATTACCTTGAAGTACATGCCAAGTGCCAAAGAGAGCCCAGGAAAAGAAACTTTTGAATTACTAAAGTGTCAAAATGCCAATTTTTCAATGTTGTATAAAGAAGTCCATTTTAGCAAAGCATTAACAGTCCAATATTTTTGCTATTAAGCAGAGCCACAAAGTAAAAAAGTAAGACTTCCCAGTCTTTTTTCCACATCAGGAATTACTGGTATCATGATTTTCAAATCTCTCAACATCAAGAGAAGTAGAGGATGTCCCCTGGGGCTCATATCAGAATAGAGGAAGGTATAGTTTAGGAAAGTGAATTGCAAAAATCCAAAGCTTACACATACTAATTTCATAGATGACAGACCTAGAAAGAGGATATGGTTCAAGCTGGTTTTAAGGCTTACAAAATGAAATTCTACCAAAATTTTTTTAACGCCAAGAAAAAAAAGGAAATGCTGAAGAAACTAAGGTGGTTGTTCCTGGCATTCTCCAAGGAGTCTAGACATAAATTATCATATATAAAAATGAGCACATAACCAAGGATGAATATAGAAAACGGACATGAAACAGGAAGAACAAGGTCAGAAAGGTAAAAGTTCAAAATAAGCATGAGGCTAAACCATACTTACATTTGAGTTAACAGATCAGAACATCTACCCACAAAAGGAGTGTCTCAAACATGAGTTACCAAAACAGTATCACAGATGGTTAGCTCTGAAGCTATGGATGAATATGGATGAATATGGATGAATATGGATGAATATGGAATGGTTACCATATTTTCTCATTGACTCTTACTAGGAAAAACAAAAATGAATTCCTAATATTCAGAATAAGATAAGCACAGATGCGGCAGGAATGCAACTCAAAGGACCTTGTGGTGGCTCAGTGGCCTAACAGACTATACCGGAGTGTGAGGGCTCTTGCTACAGGGTCATTACTATGAATCACAGAGAAAATTCTCTTCACAAACTCATCCACATTTAGGATCTTCTCCAAATGCTTCTCGCTTTGTTGGGTGACTTTAAGAACACACAGCCTCAGGAAATTGTTTCTAGGAAGAACCACAGATAAAATGAATTAGACCACTTTAGGAAAGTAATATTTAATTAGGAATCAAAGCGACACAAACGCTACTAATAAATTTTAGCAACAGGCCAATGTTTTTCAACCTTAACATTCTGTTTTACCACAGAAACAGTCAAAAGTCTGTACAGTCATCCTGTGACAGCCACAGTGTGGAGGGGAACTGATTCCAGGACTAGCCCCCCACCAAACCCAAATCCTTGGACACTGAACTCCCTTCTGTAAAATGGCACAGTGCCTGTGCATCCTCTCACATAGTTTAAATCATTTCTAGATTACTTATAATACCGAATACAATGTAAATACTATGTAAACAAGTATAAGTACAATGTAACTAGTGGCCAGTGGATGGCAAGTTGAAGTTTTGCTTTTTGGAACTTTCTGGAATTATTTTCCCAAATATTTTTGACCCGTGGTTGGTAGAACCCATGGATGCAGAACCCTGAGATGAGTGCTAAGCATAAGCAGTTTGCAGAGTGCAGTCCTGCAGGAAGGCACCAAACAGCTGTAATGTAGAGAGAAGTCCGGGAGCCGAACTCAATCTCCTCAATCCTGTTAGAACCAAGAAGATGGTCTTCCTCCTCTCAAGCTAATTCTATAGCTTCTTTTCTGCAGGTCTGATTAGATGTATATGTGAGCACACGAGTATATGGAGAATGGTGGAAAGAAGTGGGAGAGGGAATGGCATAGAGAAATGGCATATGTTCAGGGTTTGCTTACATGTTTCAGGCACTTCACAGTGGCCCATAATCTCATGTAACATGTAACCTCATGTTATAAAAATAAATTGTTAAATCAGAAACTTCTCAAAATGAAATGCACAAAGCCACAGATATTTCCAAAATACACTATTACATATCAAGGTTGTCTTTAATTTTGAATTATCCTGTCCCCCAAAGAAATAAGTACTCTCTGCCTTATACCCTTTACTTTGGCTCAAAATGCCATTAAATTTCACACCAAAATTTGTTGTGAATTTCCACATGCATCCACTAAAACAGTAAAAAAACAAAAACAAAAAGCCATCATGTGGAAGTCCTAAAAGGCAAAAAGAATACAGACTACAGTAGAAAACAAAGAAATATGAACAAAGTGCTTTAGGACACCAAGGTCTTTAAAGACTTACCCAACTCTGAAAACATCAGCTAACTTTAGGAATGCAGAATTGATGAGAATGGGGAATGGATACTTCTGAAAGAGCCTGGGAAATCGGACAACTGCTTCACACTGTTCACCAAGTTTGCCAGATCTTAGACCTATGGAAACCATTAAAAGGGAAGAACAGGTTAGAAATTTTTGACTATAGTAAGGCAAAAACAGCAAATACCAACACAGTATTACAGACTAAAATTATTTACACAGTAAAATTACAATCATTCTTAACAATTAGATAAAGTACAACAGGAACTTGTTATGTTTTCAAAAATAAAAATGATACATGAAATAGTAATTTTGGAAAGTGCCACCTTAAGATATAAAGAGAAACTTCTGTGGGTTTTTTTTTTCTTCTTTAAAAGGTTGAATTGATAGAATATTTGGGACCACAAGTAAATCTCAACAAATATGAAAGGACTGAAATCATATTATGTATGTCCTCCATTACAACATAATGGAATTAAATTAAAAATCAGTAAGAGAAAAATATTTAAAAATTTTCAAATATACTGGAAATTAAGCAACACAGTTATTTTAAAAACCCAATAAGATGAATCATTGAAAGAATTAAAAGTGTAAAAGAAGAAATCAGAAGAGAAATTTAAAAGAAGAAAAAAAGAAACTTAATCTTTAATTTGCACCATATACAAAAATTAATTCAAAATGAACCACAGACCTAAGAGTAAGAGCTAAAATTATGAAGCATATAGAAAAAAAGAAATCTTATGCTTGTATGCTTGTATGATGCAAATAATTCTTAGATAAAACACAAAAAGTGGGCTTTTCAGACTAAAAGATTAAAAAATGATAAGTTAAAACTTCACAAAAAATTTAAAACTTACGCTCTTCAAAACATACTGTTCTGAGAATAAAAAAACAAGACACATACTGGAAGAAATATTTATAGAACATGTATTTGATAAAGGACTTCATCCATAGTTCTCACATCTCTAGAAAACTTAGTTTTTTAAATGGGCAAGATGTGAAGAGAAATTTCACTAAAAACGAAATACGATGGCAAATATAAGCACATGAGCAGATGCTCATCATTATCAGTCTTCCAGGAACTATAAATTAAAAACAACAGTAAGATACCACTACACATCCACTAGAAAGGCAAAAAATTCCCAGTCCATCAACTGGTGAATGAATAAACAAACTGTGGTATCTCCATACAAGAGTCTCCTATTCAGCATTCAAGAAACTAAGATCATGGCATCCGGTCCCATCACTTCATGGCAAATAGATGGGGAAACTAGAAACAGTAACAGACTTCGTTTTCTTGGGCTCCAAAATCTCTGCAGACAGTGACTGCAGCCATGAAATTAAAAGATGCTTGCTCCTTGGAAGAAAACCTATGACAAACCTAGACAGCATATTAAAAAGCAGAGACATCACTTTGCCAACAAAGGTCCAGCTGGTCAAAGCTATGGTTTCTCTAGCAGTCGTGTACAGATGTGAGAATTGGACCATAAAGAAGGCTGAACACCAAAGAATTGACAATTTCGAATCGTGGTGCTGGAGAGGACTCTTGAGAGTTCCCTGGGCAGCAAGATCAAACCAGTCCTTCCTAAAGGAAATCAACCCTGAATATTCACTGGAAGGACTGATGCTGAAGCTGAAGTTCTAATACTGTGGTCACCTGATGCAAAGAGCCGACTCACTGGAAAAGACCCTGATGCTGGGAAAGATTGAAGGCAGGAGGAGAAGGAGGCACCAGAGCATGAGAAGGATGAATGGCATCACTGACTCAAAGGACATGAGTTTGAGCAAGCTCCGGGAGATAGTGAAGTTTATGGAAGCCTGGGGTGCTACAGTCCATGGGGTCAGGAAGAGTCAGACACAACTTAGTGACCGAACAACAAAAGTAGCAAAAAAAAAGGAACCCTTTACTGATGTGACAACATGGGCGGATCTCAAAATCATCATGCTAAATGAAAGAAGTCAGACCCAAAAGACTATTGTATTACATGACATTCTGGAAAAGGCAAAACTATGAAGACAGAAGGTAGAAAGTGGTTGCCGAAAGCTAAAGAAAGACTGACCACAAAGGGGCACAAGGATGTTCTGGGGGTGAAACATTCCAGGTAGTGGTTTCATGACTATATACATTTGGTGAACTTTATTACACACAAATTACGCCTCAATGAATGATTCCTTTTTTTTTTTTTGGCTGCGCTGCTTATGGGATCTTAATTCCCAGATCAGAGATTGAACCCAGGCCCTCAACAGTGAAACTGGAGAGCCCTAAATGCTGGACCACCAGGGAATTCCCTCAATGAATTTGATTTTTCAAAAATCCAACAAACAGTTAATGTTCAATCCTTAAAAAAATTCATTAAGAATGAATATCCTGATATGAAATTAACACTATCACCTTCAAATAATTCTTTTATTATTTTGCCACTTATAAAATGCTGATTATATCTGCACAAGAAAAAGTGCCCAAGAATACCTCTGTTCAGTAAAGTCTGTTCATTGTTTAAAAATGACAAAGGAAATGTCTGGGGTTAAAACAAGGAATGTCGCTCGCCATTCAGTCCTGTGAGGAATGAGTCACTGACCTAAAGTACACTCTGTAAAGAATTCAGTTTAAAGAACTAGATGAGGCACTCTGTGTTTTAAGGAAAACAGGTCAAACATGCCCTTAGGCAGTTATATTTCAGGGGGAAAAAAATTTATGAACCTGGAGACCTGCATTTTCCCACACTTAGAAAAGCACTGAAGTCATTAGCCGAGATGTGCATTCCTTGAGACTGTCAGTAACCTACCGAGACGTCTGTCGGCTTGCACATACTCCTTAGTCAAAACGGCATGATACACGGACCTCTCCCCCTGCCTCTTCAGAGCGATTTCTCAGAGCTTTCTGGAAAGCTGTCTCCAGGCCACAGTCCTCAGCGAGACGCCGACTGAAACTCAGCTCACAGCTCGCACACTGGCGGCTGATTCCCAGTGGACAGAGGGCTCTCTCCTGCGTGCCACTTTGTCTCAACGCGGAAGACTTTCACAAAGGGCATGTGCACGTGCAAATTCTACAGCTCACTAAGGAGTTCAGTTCTGTAGGCACACTCAGCTTAGTTATCTGGTACTTGGAACATATTTCCTCAGAGGAAAACAAATAGCACTATCGGTACTTACAGTACTCTGTAATCAAATGGCTGCTTATCATAAAAGTTCCTAAGGGAAAATTAATCCAAAATTAATTTCTAATTGAGATATTCAGAACATATCCCTTCTTTGCCTGCTCCTCTCTCCCTACACACCTCATTCACCAACTTCCATACACACAAGAACTGCCATTAGGAGCTCTTGGGAGTTTTCTTCCCATTAAATGCACCAAGTACCAGCAGAGACCTTCTAGGGGACTAGCAATGGCTCCTGAAGCCTTAAAAAGGCGGTCAAGGACACAGGGAAGGTGAGGGAAAGAAAGGCAAGCCTCAGGAAGGAGGTGAAGGCGCAGAGAAGGGAGAGATGTGTGCTTACGTACACGTGCTGGGGGAATGGACTGCTGGGAGAACCCAGAGTAGCTGGGTTTGCCTCCTTCTCTCTCTCTCAGTAGGTGAGTGATGCACATGATAGCAAAGTTCTGTTTGTAATAAATTACAGGGAGAAATATCAATAACCTCAGATATGCAGATGACACCACCCTTATGGCAGAAAGTGAAGAGGAACTAAACAGCCTTTTGATGAAAGTGAAAGAGGAGAGTGAAAAAATTGGCTTAAAGCTCAACATTCAGAAAACTAAGATCATGGCATCTGGTCCCATCACGTCAAGGGAAATAGATGGGGAAACAGTGGAAGCAGTGCCAGACTTCATTCTGGGGGGCTCCAAAATCACTGCAAATGGTGATTGCAGCCATGAAATTAAAAGACGCTTACTCCTTGGAAGGAAAGTTATGACCAACCTAGATAGCATGTTAAAAAGCAGAGACATTACTTTGCCAACCAAAGTCCGTCTAGTCAAGGCTTTGGTTTTTCCAGTTCAGTTCAGTTCAGTTCAGTCGCTCAGTCGCATCCGACTCTTGGCGACCCCGTGAACTGCAGCACGCCAGGCCTCCCTGTCCATCTCCAACTCCCGGAGTTTACCCAAACACGTGTCCATCGAATCGGTGATGCCATCCAGCCATCTCATCCTCTGTCGTCCCTTTCTCCTCCTGCCCCTAATCCCTCCCAGCATCAGAGTCTTTTCCAATGAGTCAACTCTTCGCATGAGGTGGCCAAAGTACTGGAGTTTCAGCTTCAGCATCAGTCCTTCCAATGAACACCCAGGACTGATCTGCTTTAGGATGGACTGGTTGGATCTCCTTGAAGTCCAAGGGACTCTCAAGAGTCTTCTCCAGCACCACAGTTCAAAAGCATCAATTCTTTGGCACTCAGCTTTCTTCATAGTCCAACTCTCACATCCATACATGACCACTGGAAAAACCATAGCCTTGACCAGATGGACCTTGTTGGCCAAGTAATGTCTCTGCTTTTTAATATGCTGTCTAGGTTGGTCATAACTTTCCTTCCAAGGAGTATGCGTCTTTTAATTTCATGGCTGCAGTCACCATCCGCAGTGATTTTGGAGCCCAAAAAAATACAGTCTGACAGTGTTTCTACTGTCTCCCCATCTACTTCCCATGAGGTGATGGGACCAGATGCCATGATCTTAGTCTTCTGAATGTTAAGCTTTAAGCCAACTTTTTCACTCTCCTCTTTCACTTTCATCAAGAGGCTCTTTAGTTCCTCTTCACTCTCTGCCATAAGGGTGGTGTCATCTGCATATCTGAGGTTATTGATATTTCTCCCAGCAATCTTGATTGCAGCTTGTGCTTCTTCCAGCCCAGCGTTTCTCATGATGTACTCTGCATATAAGTTAAATAAGCAGGGTGACAATATATAGCCTTGACATACTCCTTTTCCTATTTTGAACCAGTCTGTTGTTCCATGTCCAGTTCTAACTGTTGCTTCCTGACTTAGTTGGGATGAAAAAGGGAAAGAAGGAAGTAGCCCAGGTACAATGTGTCTCCTCAATAGACAATATGATCCGCTTTACCTTCCCTTTAAAACAGAATCTCAGACCAATTTATTTAAACTGATTCAAAATGTACCAAAGATA